TTCACATGCTGCAGCACTGTTTCGCCCTTGTTATTTCGGCTGGCGAATATATAAATGTATACATTCGGGAGGGGAGCACATCATGAAGATGACGCCGGATGATAAAATTTGAACGAATCCTTTCTCTGTCTTTCGCGGAGTAAATGTCGTTTTACCCGCGTCGAATAGAATAGAATAGAATAGAATAGAATAGAATAGAAATGAAATGCGCGCTGCTTGAGAAGAAACAAAAGCTTCCCGCCTCTTTCCCATTCGAGATATCGCGAGTGAAGTTCGATAGCGTGCCACCGTGTGTGGAATTACCGCCGCGGCGATAATTTTCAACGATGATGCCAGCGCCGACGATACCGCGATATCCCCCTTTCCGCAGGCGAGACCGTTAATCCCGAGGTCCTTGACCTGTTCTCTAGACTAGACTGTTCGCTAGGTTTTCTTTTTAGGGGAAATGTTTGCGATCGAGCTAGGGGAATGTAAAGATCCTTGGTGGGAGTTATTCTTCCTCAACGTTTCGCGGGTCGCCGTGGAATTTATGGCTCCGAGATTAACGATCACGAAGAAGGGATGATTAACCCTTAACCCTTTCGATATTAACGACGGCTATAGCCCGTTAAATAGTCCGCTTGCTGTGAACTAACGACGACTGTACATACACGCGATGTTGACATATATGTCAGACGCTAACGAAACGAAAGGGTTAAACTGTCCATTCAACAACGGAGGCGTTTAGCGGCTAAAGACGAAGCCCTACTCCCTTGAAAGGGTTAATACGCGTGTGCGATTGAATTGGTCGCGTTTCGAGCAAAGGTTCCCTCGCGATGATTGGTTTGTCACTTTTTGCTATTTCCAATACGAATGAAGGGAAAACGGGGTATCGTGCAGCGTATGTGTGTACATGCACATTTCGTTGGCAAGAACTGGAATTTCGCAGAAGGGAACGTCCGAATCACAAAAAAAAGGGGAGATTATAACGTCGAGATACGTACACACGTATGTATATACGTAAAATAAGATAAGATAATGTCGAAGATCCAGCGCTAGATCTTTCGTTGGGAACAGCAGGGATGTTTATCCTCTAGGGATGTTGGAATAATGCAAGAAATATCTCTATTCTTCCCACTATATTTCCACTTTGTCTAATTAGTATGAGATTGCGTTACGTCAGGGGAGAAATAAAGCTTCGTGCATAACAAATGAGTTGGGAACAAAGCCTCTGAATATTAATAAACTGGTTGGATGTTCCTTGTTTTGTTGTAGTGTAATAGAAGTGGACATTTCCATATATTGTTCGAGGATTCTATGGTATTCACCTTGAAAACGAATTGAAACAGCGTATAAATATTTTCCCTTGTTTTTCGCTCTTCCACAAAAGATTAATAACGCAAGGAAAACTATCATTAATTACGGTCATAAAATATTGCTACGTGCCTTATACGTCGAAGGATAATAAATTTCCACCATTTACGCGTTACTGTAAACTGGTCGTTGAAATTATTGCATTTAATGCAAATGAAAGAAATTCATAGGTCAAATCTGGTTTTGACGAGTAAATAACATCCGTTTTAAAATTATCGCAATAATCGGAAAAATATTTTCAAACGACGTCACTCGCTCCTACAATTTCTATAATTTCTTTATAATAATGATAAAGTGTGCCGTCTCTTTCTTATTAAGCCTTAACCGTTGGAACAGGGCCTCCTCGATACGCTTTTAACTACCCTAGTATCATCTCTCGCGTTATTTATGCTCATTTAAATACGTAATTAATTCAGCAGCACTCAGTAGAACTGAAATAAACATTTCAATCATGTACGTTTCATAATTTCGTCATTTCGCTTAAGATAAACCCCCCCCCCCCCCTTTACATATATAAGCTGTCGTAGTTTACGTTAAACATTTATTCAACTAAATTAATGGGTGATCTGACAGATTAGATACTTTAAGAATCGTGAGTATAGCCAATGTAGAAAATGTTAAAAATTACAATTTTACAGTAATTGTAAGTATTGTTGAAAATTATAAGCGAAATATGTATGTGTATGTGTATGTGTGTATATATATACACATAGTGGCAAAAATTACAAGTATATAATAGGCTATATTACCTGTACATGTATTAAAATTGTATATGATATAGTCTTGAGAATACGAGTATATATAGTATGTACATACATATATTGTTTATCGGAGTTGTTGAAAGTGTTAATTTTGTCAAGAGTTTATGTTTCCTTGGGACAAACACCATCAACGAGCTTGCCACGGAAATGGGCGCGGCGATCCTACTACTACAGGTACATTATACAAGCTCGGTTGGTGGCAGTGCTGTATTTTTTTGCTATATTTTTAGGGCGTTTTAGCTAGGCTTCTTTGGCGAGAAAATGGAAAAGTTGCTATAATAAAGTGTAGCTTCATATTAAATGAGCTCTGATGCACGTAAGCATGTAAGCTTCGTGTTGCAAAATAATTTCATTACGTTGACTATATTTTTCTTTCACACACACACGCACAATATAAATATTTTTAAATATTCTTAAAGTTTCTCGTTAGTCTTCGGATCGGACAAGTATCGAGATCGAAATTTCAGTATAATTAAAATTTACGAGTATCAGTTTTAACCTGATTAAAATCAGAATTTACTTGGTGCAAGTACAATTTACAAGTACGAATGTTAGAATTTCAATGTAATCGATCTTTAACGTGACAGAGATTTAATCAACGAAACGATTTTTAATTTATTTGTTGAAATGAATGCATTTCTCTGTCAATGGTCTCTCGATCATTCTTATTTGATCGATAATAGAACAGAAAATACAAATGATACACGATGATATGACGTATATATAGAGAAAAAGGGAAAAGGTGTAATAAATTTAGAAATGGTCAGAGGCCTAGGGATATTGAAACACGGCACTGATATCATTTGAATGATTGTGTTTACTGACACGAACGAACAGCTGTTATGCTATGTATAACGCAAACATGTACGTAAACGATATACAATGTAATAAGTGTGTTTGCTACGTTTCATGACATTGTGTGTACAATCATAGAGAATATTGCTTTAGAGGATAATGGCGAGAGAAGATCGTGGTGCTCTTGCGATTTGCGAAATGATTCACTGTGAAAATAATATAAAACATAATAAAATCCTTTTTGCTTTGATAATAATTTATATCTGCTATTAGAGGGAACAGAATGATAACGAGAATGATAAAATTCGATATTTAAAGGAATTGATATCTACATACATAATAGTGTTCAATATGTCAATTCCGAAAGGAATGATAAATTTGTATATACAATTAGAAACATATATATGTATATATATTAAAATATAGAAAATTTCTCGTCGTTCTAAAAATAACTCGTGGGAGGTGATTCACGCGCGACCGCGTCGGACAAATCATTCTCGAGCTGAGTGGCAAGGGCACGTTTGAGAAAAAGTCGCGGAAAAAGCGACTGTGTGTGCCTCGAACACACAGGGAGTGTAACAAGCGGGAAAAGAGACGATAAAAGCCGATCGGCTTCAACCCCGCCAACGGCGCCAACTGATTCTGAAAAATCGTTCTAGCCGACGCGCTCACGCTTGGATATACACTCCTTGCCCGGTCTCAAAAAGAAAGAGGAGGCTCTCCCTCCCTCCCTCCCTCCCTCTCTTCCATTGGCAATAGAGGGAAAACGATTGACCTGGCGTGCACATAAATTCGAATCTTCGAACCTTCTTTTCGCGTTATCCCGATGACTGCTTTACGAGGTTAAATCGATTCCAATTTGGGTCGGGATACGCGGGCTGTGTGCGTACCTCGTGAGACAAGCTCGTTTGCTCCGGAAAAATCGTTTCGGTTTTCGGCCGAGAGAAATGAAAAGAGAGCTGGCATTCATTAGAAAATAATTACTGGAATATAATTCACTGGAAGCTATAAATATCTTTTGTATGTTTTTTTCACGTCATCTGCATTCTATCCTGTGTTTTTTTGCTCATATAAATTCATCGAAATCCGCAATCTACTTGTCAGCTTACCCTTTTGGAAGATTTCTTCTTGCAACATCTTCAAATATCACCATGAAAATCTCCGAGAGAGACTGCATTACGTGCGTCAATCTTATTCTCAAATCGATCGTCCATCTGAAAAGCTTGGGCGAGAGAGAGAGAGAGAGAGAGAGAGAGAGAGAGAGAGAGAGAGAGAGAGAGTGAGTGAGAGGGGGGGAGGGGAGGAAAGGGGGATTTATCCGTTTCTCGAAAACCAAAGTCGGCTGTTGAATTATTCCACGCACCATCTCCGTGACAAACCGCGGAGAAGGATTTTAGAAAAGCCTGACGGCCGAAAGGCTTTTTCCACTATTGCACTTTGATCCGACGCAGCTCTCGGCGCCGCGCCGCTTTATTTTCTTATACGAAGTAGAGCGTCATCGATTCCAGCTATCGAAGCCGATTTATACTTGTATCCGCAGAAGGGCTCGGATGATGAAGAGCACTTTGGCACCTGAGGAACATCGTACGGCGATAAACGTCTCCTTGGCGTCGTCTGGCGTCTTAGCGAACCTCGAGCCTTCTCGATACTTATCTGAAAGAATCGGTTGCCTCGCGGAGCGTGGCTAATTCCCTCTGGCTTCCTTTCCAGAGGTCTGGCGCTTTTGCTTGCTTGCTTGCTTGCTTGCTTGCTTGCTTGCTTGCTTGTTTGCTTGCTTGCACTTTCCTGCAGATCGCGGAACTTTTCTTTGTTCCTCCCCGTCCCTGGTGGAAATGGATTTGAGCTAATTGCAAGAATCTTACGGGGAGGGAATTTGTGGTGACGGGGGTATATTAAATTCGCGCCAGAACGTGTGGTCACTTGGGTTGTATGTCGGGTTTGAAAATGTTCGATGGAACTAAAATACGGGGGAAACGGGGGAGGGGGAGGGGGAGGGGGGTGGAGTATCAGTCTTTAACAGTTCTCAGAATATACACTCTAATAATTAGATTATTATTGCATTCTCGAAAAATTACTCGTGGATCTTCGTAGAATGCAAAAGAAGAAAAGGCATCATCAGACAAAGACATCCAACGCCCCGACAAAACGCACGTAAAACTCGCGTTGCTCGCCGCGAGCAACCGCTTGCAAGTACCGACTCGAAGAAACGCCATTAGCCTCAGCCCCCCTGTGACAAATGGTTCGCTCGATTTGCAGCTCGCTCGATTGGACGTGACAACGAGACGTGCGAAGAGAAAAGAGAAAAAAGTATTAATTAAGGATCGGCGGCTGCAGGGTTGTCGGCGGCAGTGTGCCAGCGGTGGTTTTTATCGGAGAAAGAGGGCGTCGTTAACGTTCCGGCGCGGTTTAACGAACGGCGTTGAAGAGGCTAGCTAACCCCGCGGTCTCGCAGGGGCGGAACGGAGCTTGGTCAGAGACGGAGGACGCGGAAAGCAGAAGCAGAAGAAGAAGCTGAAGCATTATGTTGCGTTAACGTAACGCTGGCCGGGAAATGGGTTAAGGACGTTAAGGCCAACTCTCGTCGTCGCCAACCGGTGCGGCGGAAAGAGTGGGAGCTGACGGAAGAGAGTTATACCCTATGGCGAGATGCTCTGGCAAAGAGCAGATTCTGCGGGCCGAGTTTCAACTCTTCCACGCTTGGACCGTGTGGTTTTTTTTCCCTCTTTTTTCTTTTCTTTTTCTTTTCTTTTTCTTTTCTTTTCTTTTCTTTTCTTTTCTTTTCTTTTCTTTTCTTTTCTTTTCTTTTTTTCGCGAAAGAGGAAAACTCACGGTCGGCTCGACTTTTTGATTTTGAGCGTGTGTATGTACTTTCGAGCAACGTGATTTGATTTGAAATTAAACAGTAAAAAAAGTATATCGAAGTGATTGAAGTATATTGCATGTCCCATGTAATATTTGTGCTAATTACGCAGCCTAGTATTCAAACTAGAACTTTTGGTCATTTTTGAAATTTTTCCTCGCGTATCCATGCATTTTCATTTACCTATATATAGTGAAAAGTTCATTTGTATGAACTTGTCTCATAAAGCAAGTAGTTCATATAATTGGAGTTCCGGTTCAAATTCTGGACACAAAGGGTCAGGAAAGAATAGCTATAATTTGTAATAGAAATTTTAAATCCACCACAGTTTCACTCGTTCGATTCATGATTAATGGGTTAAGCATATACTATAATAGTTTTGCATAATTTTCGAATGGTGCAGTATCATAAATTCGCTTGAGACTTGAATTCTGAGCGTGGGGCAAGGAAGCAGTTGAATATTACACGACAGTCTCTCTCGTAGAATCTGCTGTGTATCTACGAAATGAACCGCACGCGATATTATATACTTAATGTGACACAATTTCGTTAAATAGCTTGCAGAATACGGAACATGGGAACTTAATTGTGTGTTAATGCAATTCCTCATTTATTTCAAACAGTTGAACATGAATGATACATGAGTTCATATTACCAACAACACCTGCGTCTCCTTGGTACACGACTGTTTAACGAATGTGCCCAACCAAATTTCGCTGATACAATCCTAATTGAACAACCTGTCGCAAAAACATTTCCACTCGATCGAGTAACTTCTATGAAAATTTGGTGTACTCAGCCTACGAAAATTTACTTAAATATAATAAGAGATGAAGTAAAAAGCATTCCATTTGATGGCCAAATAACGAAATAGTCTAGAGAAAAATTATTTTCACGTACAAATAAGCTAGCGCGTAGTTATTCCAAATAAAATTTAGTTAAATAAGGCAAAGCTAGTATAATTGTACGTAAAAATGAAATTGGTTATGTACGGACTCGTCGAGTTAGTAGTCCTACTAAAAAATGACAGAGTGACCGACTTGTTATACTGATCTAGAGTGAAAGTAAAACAGGTGACTTGTCTCGATATCAATTACGTCAATCGTTTCAATGTAGCCGTAGTTTTATTTAAAGAGTAGATTGTTACTTTGTTACCGCGAAAGAAAATTACTTTCGACGAATCTTCATTTTCAATCTTTTCAATTAAGAGAGACACATTGCAGATTATTATTTAAAAAATTATTATTGCGAAACACTGCGCAATTGAAATTTTCGCAATTAATCAATTAATACGTAACTACATAACTTACTTCAAAGTACGTTTCATTAAATGTTCCTGTATTCGTGGTAAAATTCTTGTAATTAATTTATTTAAAAATAGGTTTCATCTTGCCGTGTTTATCGTAGAATTTTTATAAGTAATTAATTATTATATAATCAGCCTCTATCAGCCGAAAGTAGATTTCATTAGACTGTTTCATCGGATTGCGACGTGATCTTTTGATAATTGATTTTGAAAACATTTTGCCTGCCTTCCGTTTCTTTTCTTTTGTTCTTTTACGTAAATTTAAAAATCTGAAAAATACAAAAAACACGACAAAAGAAGGTTCCGATAGATTGAAAATAATAATCCTGTCAGCTTTACGTGCGCCGAATTTGATAAAAAAAGAAAAAATGAAAAAATAGAAATAAAATATCGGAGACTGCTCGAGCGAGATTTAAAAAAATGTAGTTGGAGTGAAATGCGTTTGAATTGTCATCGGTTCAACTTTATCTGCAACATTTCAGCGAGTTTCGGAATTTTCGAGCAAAATGAAAATATTGCCAAATAAATGTCGAACAATTATCTGGATAAGCAAATTTCGGTCGAGAATCGGTCCTTTAAATAATTAAGTTACCATAATGGATATTCGATTCGAGTATACACGCTGCTGGAATTTTTTTCTTTTTTTCTTTTTTTTTTTTTAACTCTTGAAAATTCTTTGTAATTCGTTCGTTAAACATTCGTGAGATTGATACAAATATTGGAAGAAAAATGTAGATTTTCTTTACTATAGATAATTAATCTATTGGAATTAGAATGGAGATAAGGAAGGAAACATTTGGGAATTACTTGTTATTACATTTTTATGCGCTGTTGCACAAATGGCTGGTTGATCGAACACCTGCCAGTGCGAAGGTTAAATATAAAATCACAGCTGTGTGTCTGGCTTGCATTTTCAGCGCGGACATGGACACACTCGTGTAGTTAAATTACGATTGGAAAGGAACGTGACGACTTCAATGTAGATTGTTTATCACGTAGAGATTGTAAACACGATATCGACACGAAATGATTACGTAGAAATATGTAGATATCGCGTACGAATCAGTTTCTTAGATGTGTGCAAGAATATGATGTAATGTACTATACTTCGATATATAATAGCTTGCAAATTTCTATGGAAATTTATATTTTCCAGATTAGATTGTTAATAGATTAGAGAGATTAAAGGAATTAGAATTAATCATTCAATTAAGAGAGACAGATTACGATTATTGTATCGTCTTTAAAAGTAACATCGCTCGTTGTCCTCGGTGAATGCGTGCGAAAATGGACGTTGGCGGATGAATGGATCTCGGGTACGTTTCGATCGAGCGCGTTCATCCGCGTTTCCAATAACAACGTACATCTGACATCGTCGCGATCCTAAGAACCTCCGATACTCCGATCCCTTCTCATCGTATTATCGATCGTGTATCGGCGAGATATTTTTCGATAAAACGCGTGGTTAGAGCACGGAGCGAAAATTCGATTCGCCACGCGACAAGCGCTTTCTTCTTTTTTTTTTCTTCTTCCCAGGGATTCGCGACTTTTTGTGCATTTCTCTCCCCAAAAGGGGGAGAGAGGGGAGGGGAGGGGAGGGGAGAGGAGGGACGCGCGGAGAAGTAACATTTTAAAGAGTTTACTCGCTCTTACTTGCCGGCGAATCAGGATAATACGAGTGCACTCGCGGGGTTTAGCGCACGACTCTTTCGTGCACTAAATTTAGACCGTGGTTGGAGAAAGAGGAGAAAATGTCTGTCGCGTAAAAGCCGAACCGCGTGCCGCCAACCCTTTCGGGGGTTCTTTCGCGTGTGCCACGTACACAAGCGCTCGTACACACGTACACTCGCATACTCGCGTGTTTTCCAACGAGGGAATTTCAGCGAGGGTAAACGTTGATTCATTAAAGTATCTATTGTACGATTTTGCCAAAGAACATCGATCTTTAAGTGCAATCGAAGTTTACACGATCATTGTGGAAGATTTCACGAATTGGCTAACGTGTGAGTTGCTTATTTTCAAAGTGGCGCAAGTAGTCAGTAATGAAGAATGGCGTGTGACGTTAACGCGTACGCGAAACTATTTTATCTTTACTGAGAAAGATACAAGTATCCGGGATGACAAACGACGAAATAAATCTTCTCGAAAGTCGATATATAAAATACCAATAATAACTAATAAATAATGTGTACGTTTATGGTTATATGCAAATTTCTCAATATCTGTTCATTCGTTGCAATAAAACGGGATATTTTATTAGTCGTTTTTCGATTCGTGAAAACACGATTCGGGAAAACACACGGTACGAGGGAAAAATAAACACATTTTACGAGGTGCATTAATTCTAATTTATATCAAAACATCCTGATTGGACGTCTGTCATAATTTACGTTGACACTGGTTCGTTTACCGCGGGGCGCTGCGCGATACTTCAAAAGTATCGCGTCGACAAAGTTTTAAATCAATAAAGTCGCACAGAATAACGGAATTGCATATACGGGACAGAATTTCGCGTCGAGTGATCTCATTCGTCGATGCTTTTACGTCTAGTACGAGACTGCATAATTCGTTCGTTTTGTATTTACAACGAAATACACAGCGAACGGCTACCAATCACAGGCTTCGTGTAAATTCATACTTGCCAATAGGCTGCGAATTTTTACCAACTTTCGAATTCGTATTTTTATAAACCTGATTAAACGAGCAGAGTTACTAGAAATTTATTTGCTGCTGTTTGCTGCGTATTGCAACAAATGCTGTGAATTCCAAAATTTTGTTTAAAAACCTACCGTTCACTCGATAATATCGTACCTATTTTTTGATTATTTAACTCGTGGTTGATGAAACATTTTATTTGCAATTCTTTTTGATCAGTTTATATTATAAAATCCCATGTTTTAATAGCGCAACAGTGAAAAAAAATGGGTTCCAAAGATTCACTCAACACTTTTTTATCGTTATGTGAAATTATCATTGTGTGATGTCTGAAGAAATATGTGTATTTATAATAGTATTACGATAAATTGTTGTTTGACGAAGAGTTACAATTGCAAATATATAATATATATAAATATCACGCAAATATTAATACACGAAATGAATATTAACGTAAATCGTCGGTCCGTGCGTCACGTAGTGAACGTTCGAACGATAATCGAAAAGGCAATGAATCACTGTCTGATAGACGAGTTTCCCGTGACGTAACGGAAAAATATTTTCAGTTAAAGTCTCGTCTAAAGTTCACGTTGGGCACAGTCGCATTTTACGATGAAACATTTTTTTTTTTTTTTTTTTTTTAGTCTTGAGTTTTGAAAATCTTGATTAATACTACTTGAGCGAGTCGTAAATGTCTTGATTAGCAAATACGATAAATAGGCAGTATTTTCGATATTCATTTCGATTGCAAACTCAATCTTTATGATAATTTCATTTTTACAAACGTACGTGCAAACTCAGTACGCGGTAACAACAATCGTTAGGCAGTTCAACGTATAATGTTGTGGTACATACGTAGCTGGCTGAGACTAACGAGTGCGAATTTGCTCGGCGTCGCGCGCACATGAGTGTATGCATATTCATACAGTGGCTAGTACACGCTCGTGCGCCGGCATGTACATACGTGCTCTCGCGTGTTAGCCATAATTCAAACTTGCCGGCAATTCGTTCCACCTCCGTGAGTCCAATTTTTCCGATGTGTGCGACGCGAAAGTTTCGCGAAAATCGAGACGTCAGCCGGATTATTCTCGGATCGAGCGGACGAAGATGCAAGCTTATTGATTAAACTTGCGACGTGATTTTCGCGCGTACAGGATTTTCACGGTGGAGCAGTGTACTTTACTTAACTTAACGGAGCAAAAATTTAGTTTTTCGATTTTCATGATTCAGAATCATGCGACGCAGTGATGAAGAGGGACTTTGGCAATTCTTGTTGATACAGAGTCAATTACCAAGAGTCTGCGTTCTGATAAATAAAGGATCTCGAGTGAAATCCAGCAATGAAAGGTATAAAGTAGAAATTTGAAATAGTGCAAAAAATATATATAAAGGTTTAGAATTTTCAAAAAGTCTCTCAGAATCTCTGAATCTCGAAAAAGTCTCTTCAAACTTGAAAAGAGAAAAACCTAGACAGACCTTATGATTTTCTGAAATAAATACCTAGAGAGAAAAGTCCAGAGTTACGAAACTTTTCTCTCAAGTCTTGCGATCCGGCGAGATCGAAAAGTTAAAATCGACGAAAATTTAAAATGTTGTTCCAAATTCCAAGAGGCTCGAACGTTTCGATCCGAGGAAGTAATTACAGACGAGGCAGAGCCAAATGTAGAACGGACTTTTACGAACGCTATTAATAGGCATTAAGGATGTTATTAACAGGCGCACGAATGTACACGTTCGAATGTACACGTTCTTGTAAGCGCGGGTACGAGGAGGAATTGCTCGAACGAAAGTACTGACCCCGATAAACTTGCACGAGGTGGTGCAGTTGCGAGTTGCGTGAATTACCGCTGTCGTTTGTCATTAAGCTAAGTCACAAAGCAGCAAAGTTTCCGCCTGTATTGTAACTGACAGTGTTAAGGAAGAATTAACGTCGTTGTTTAACGTTTAAAGTCTTGCTGCTTCTCTCTGAAACCTTATCAGGAGAACTTTAAATACGAATATTTTTTCCGTTTTTTTTCTCTTTTTTCTTTTTTCTTTTCTTTTCTTTTTTTTTTTTTTTGTCCCTCGTCCCG